TGGAGTATTACTCAGCTATTAAAAACAATGAATTCGGGAGTTTCCTAAGTAAATGGATGCAACTAGAAATTATCATCCTGAATGAAGTAAGCCAATCACAAAAGAACACACATGGTATTCATTCACTGATTATCGGATATTAGCCCAGAACCTTGAAATGCCCAAGATGCAACTCACAGGCCACATGAAGCTCATAAAAAAGGAAGACCAAGTGGGGGTGATTCAGTTCTTCTTAGAAGGAGCAACAAAATACTCAAGGGAGCAAATATGGAGACAAAGTGAGGGACAGAAACTGAAGGAGGGGCCATTTGAAGACCTTTCCACCTGAGTATCCATCCTATGTGCAATCACCAAAGGTAGATGCTGATGTGGAAGTCAGGAAGTGCATGCTGATAAGGGCCTGATATGGATGTCTCCTCAGAGGCCTTCAAGAGTCTGACATATTCAGAGGCAGATGCTCACAACTAGCCATTGAACTGATCATGAGGTTCTCAATGGAGGAGTTAGAGTGAGGACTGAAGGAGCTGAAAGGGTTTGTGGCACCATGAGGAGAGCAACAATACCAACCAACCACAGCTCCCAGGGTCTAAACCACCAGCCTGGGAGCACTTAGGGAGGGATCCAGGGCTTCAGCTGAATATGTAAGAGTGGAGGGCCCTGCCGGGCACAGGTGGAAGAAGAGAACCTTGATCTCATGAAGGCTGGACGCCCCAGGGGGTATGAATTTTGAGGGTGGGGAAGTGAGAGTGGGGGGGGGGTAGGTAGGGGTTACATCCATGGAGAAGAAGGAGGAGGGGTAAGGGGATGGGGGGTTCGGGGGGGGGGGGGGGAGGGGGTAAGGGATAACATATGAAATGTAAATAAAATATCCAATTAAAAAAAATCAAAAAAAAATTCAAAAAAAAGGATAAATGAATATTATATTTTATCTTTTTCATTAAAAGAGGTATTATTAAAATAGGGTTAATTTATATGTGGTCTATTTAAGATTAAAAAATTATTTTAAATATCTGTATATGAAGGGGGGTATATGTGCACATGAATGCACATGAATGCAAGTACCCACAGAAGTCAGAGGGGTCGGATTTCCCTGGGCCTGCAGTTTTGGTCTCTTGTAAGCCACCTGATGTGGGTGCTGAAAATCAAACTCAGGTCTTCAGGAAGAGCAATGTGTGTTCTCTGAGCTTTGAAATTTAGGTACTGTACAGTGTTATGAATAAGTTGAAATGGTGAGCTAATATTTTATTTGGTGAAAGTTTCAGTATTTTTCTGTTTCCAGAGAGAAAATATATCTGAAAGTTCGCAGGGAAAGCCATTTTGACTCAGTAATATTAAAGGATTGATATTTATCTCAGTGCAGTCTCCCCCTTTTAGTTAACTTAAATTTCCTGTACAGCATATTTTGACCATGTTTTTTCCCTCCCCAGCTCCTCCCGGAGCCTTCCTGTTATCCTGCCCACCCAGTCTTATATCCACCGTCCCTTCAAAAAATATGGAGCACGTCACTAGTTTGCATGTCATCTTCTTTCAGGGGCCAGGCTAATCTTCTCTATTGTTCCAGTTTTACTGTATGTGTAGGTGAAGTGCACACTGGTTGTTTTGTGTTTGTTCACATGGTGTCTGGGGTTTTCTGTGGCATACACTCTCCTTGAATTTGTAAGCAAGTTAAAGTGTCTTACTTCAGAATGTGTAATAGTTACTGATTTGAAGTCTTTATGGAATGAAAGTGTCAGAAAATTTAACTTTCACAGAGTTTCACAGAGTTTTGTGTAGTATTGCCATAGATCAGAAACAGTATAGGTGTGCTTCATCACTGGCTCGTTTTGTACTTATGTAGAAAAACATGGTGCCTTTTCTTTTGAATTCTTGATCTTCAGAGGTCATACAGTGCCTTGTTTTCACAGAAGATGCTCAGTAAATCTTAGGTGAATAGAATATAAATGCAGTAAAATGATATTAATAGAATAATCTAGCAGTAATACTATGTAATCTTATAATAGCAAGATACAAAAAATTCAACTCATTAGTGCTTTAAAATAAAGTACTTTTTATAAAAATTGAATTTTAGCTCCCTAAATTTTACTTTTAGCTGTGTTCCATAATTTTAGTATATTAAGTAACTGATATTATAGAAGTTTCTTGATGACATGAAGTTGTTTGCCTCTTGCTGTGATAGACCCTCTCAGGTAAGTCAGAGCATATCTGACTTTGAATTTTCTGCTTTATTCATATTTGCATTTCATTTTTTTATCTAGATTTCAAGATTTAATTTGTAAACAAAATGGTTTGTAATGAAGCTATAAATTCTTAATTAAAGCATGCATATACAGGGGTTAGTATATGACTCATTGGGAGGACACTGAGCAACTTGGACAAAGCTCTGGATCTGATCCCCAGAGCTGCCAAAATAGAGAATGAAAATGGCAAAAATTTCACACATTGCACTTGTGCACACAGTGCTGGGGCATCAAGCTGAGGGTCTGACACACAAGGCGAGTCTCTCTCTGCCCAGACACGTTAGTTTGGTGGCTAGAGTGCTGCCTCCTCAGTTTTGCTTTTCAGATTAGAACTCCTATAAATATAAGTGCAGTTTATAACATTAGTGCTCCCTTGAATGGGTACTTTTAGTTCCAATAAGCTGAGTTTTCCTTTGATATTAAGCATAAGTAATTTGTGATTAAAAAAAAAAACCTCAAGGCAAAGAAAACCTGGTTAAGAGACTGTAATATCTGGGTCAAGAAGGAAGCCAGGAGGAAATAAACAGTGTGAACAGACACTGGAACATGTTCATTTTACATGTGCAAGAGTGCTGGTCATGTCAGAGGTGTTTTGAAACGGTTGGTTCAGTAATTTGGCCTACTGTCTTTTTTTCTCTATAACAGTTTTTCTGTTTTCTACTACACCTTGCACATCACCAATCCAAGACACCTTATAGGTGAGTATTTTTCTAGTTCTCAAATGGCATCAGTTGTTCCCAGCCAGTTGCCACTTCATTAAAAGTAGGCTCTATTTTTCCTCTGAACTAACAGGTATTTGATTCCACAAAGACTTTTTTAGTCCACAGCTTTAAAAATTGCCAACATGGGATGTAGCTTAGTGACAGAGTACTTGCCTGTTGTGTGAAGCCTTAAGTTCCATCCCCAGAACCCTGCTTCCCCAACACCAGAACATGGTCTAATGATCATTGAAAGGCTGCTTTTACATTACTCTTAAACCAACATCCCACCATTTACAATAAAATTACATTTCTTTTCTTTGATGTTTATACTCTTAAGAATTTTAAAATGCTAGTTTTGGGAACATTCATTCGTTCATTCATTCATTGCTTTTAATTGACCTGGGGTCTTAGAAACACTCTACAAGTACTTCCTCACTAAGTTTCAGCTCTCCTTTTGAAGTTTTAGTTAGTATAAACCTGGGAAATTAGAACAAGTTGGTTTTATATTTAAAACTATGTAAGTATACCATAATATCATGATATACAAACTGAGAAATTAAAAGGAAAAGTCCTTCAGTAGTGCTTTTCAATATTTCTAGAAAGTAAACATGGTTCCCAACTAAAGGCTTAGAGGAAACATTGTAGAAACAATCTGTAGATGTTGTTTCTCTCCTATAGTCTTCTGTAATATTGTTAATTCTCCAGTCATATCATTATACTCTTGGGTTGAAAAGGCTAATACGCCTTTTAGATTTTTCTGTATTTGTGTTAGACTCATCTGCTACAGGTTTTCTAATCTAATTTGTAAAATTTATAAAAAAAAAGGTTATTTTTAGGGATATTGGAAACAATAGAATATTATGTTTAAGTTATAAATTTGAAGAGGATTTGATGACAATAAAAAAGAAATCTAAACAAAACCTCATCTCTGAGAATTGACTGAGTCTGTGCATTTCACAGTTACTAGTCAGCAGAGCACTTGTTGCTTGCATTTTTTAATTTCTGGCTTTAGGAAGTTTTTCTGTCCTGTTGTAGTGCTCGGTCACACGGATACTTGGAAGTAGCCGGATGTATTCATAGACAGTCTTAACAGTACTAGAATAAAAGGCCAAAAAATTTTTTTTGTTGAGGCATGTTTTGTTTTCTCCTGTACACCAGGCATGGGGTGACTTGGAGTAGTCCATTTATGAAGTGTGTGAGGAGTCATTGTTTGCTAGTCTTCTTTCTTTCTCTGTTTAATTTATCTTCCTCTTAATTTTACCAGCATAGGCAGGAGAACTGGAAAGTAGCAGTAAGAATTAGTTACAGTCTTCCTCATACCACGCCTGGTCTTGGTATCATGCACATTTTTTTTTTAATGAATGTCTTAGTTGCCTTTGCATTCCTGTGTGGTCCTTCCTTTTGCCAATTATTTATGCTTGTTTTTTAAAAATTTTCTATAAGAATTTTGAAGAAGAAAAAGTTATAGATTTCCAAAATTTAGGATAACAGTATTTTCAGTAAAGGTCAGAGTTTGTGAGTCCTGAGGAAACTGTATACAGCTGCCCTGGATTGGTGGATATGCAAACAGTGAGCAAAGGAAACATGTGATAGGAGCGTCTATATTCCTTCCATCTTGGGAGAGTCTATTTGAGCCTCTGTCATCTGGTTACTTACTGTGTTGACAGCACCTTCTATTTTATTCAAAAGATTTAATTTGTGAAATGTTAGTGAATAAACTTATGTAATTTGTAAGGATGCTCATGAAATAAAAATAGTTCTTTTTATTTTTTAGAAAATTTCTAATAATTTGTTTGTATGCTTGTGTGTGTTTGTGTGTGTGTGTGTGTGTGTGTGTGTGTGTGTGTGTGTGTGTGTGTGTGTGTAAATCTTGCTGTGTAGCCCAGGCTGGCCTCAAACTTGCTCTGTAACCTCATCTGTCTTGGAACTGTCAGTCCTTTTGCCTCAGCCACCTATGTGTTGGGATTATAGGCATGAGTCACTACATCTGCTCTTAGCCATTTGTGTTAATTTCTTGTTTATCTTTTACGTTACATAGGCTCATTGCAGTGTGTTTAAAATAAGGGAAATAACTAAATAGAAATTTCTAGTTAGAAGAAATATTGTCAGATGTTCAACATTTATTTCTAAACTTGTTAAAAAGATTGCATATTAACATGCAAGAGTTCAGTGATGAGCTCACCAGATGTTAACTCCCATGCAGGGGAGAGCAGTTCTGGCTTAGCAGTTAAACTGATATCCAGTCTGGTTCTTATAGTTGTGTGTCGGCAAAGTGTGATAGGAAGGATGGTTTTAACAACTGAGGAAAAGGCCATTTTAATTTTCTGACCATGGAAGTGTCTCAGAACTCCTTTCTAATTTGCTGTTCCTCTTTAGAGAAGTAAGACTGTTTTGTAACTACAAAGAATTGAGTGTGTAAGCAGAAAGTTCATTAAATTTAAGCTCTAGGGTAGTGCTTGGTTAACATGTATTCCTATGTCCAGTGATTTTAGACACTGCTTAAGTATTTCAACAGTGCTGTCCTTTTCTTCCTTGTTGAAGTTCATTAATAACACTAAAATGAGTATGGGTGGTAGAGGTGTTATGCTTATTTTTTATTTGAAGCATTTTTAATAGTGGTGTGCCTTATTTTTTGTACAAGGTAAAAAACACTTTTCTATCTTTATGCTATTAATAGATACTGAATAGGCATAGTTAAATACCTATTTAAATACCATAGTTAAATACCATAGTTAAAATACCTATTTACATATGATGAGGCAAGAGTACATAGGAGTTACATACATACATAGGTTTTTGTATCCTACCTTGGAAATTAAGTTTGGGGATGATTGACATCTTTACTGTATCCAGGGGTTGATGTATAGGCTTTAGAGTACTCCATTTGAGCTTTTAAACACTGGTTCTTCTTCCCTTAGATATTTCGAGAAGCTCGAAGAACAGTACCGAGTATTGTTTACATGCCTCATATTGGTGACTGGTGGGATGCAGTCAGCGAGACTGTGAGAGCAACTTTTCTGACATTGCTGCAGGATATTCCATCCTTTTCACCTATATTTTTATTGTCTACCTCTGAAACCATGTACAGTGAGCTGCCTGAAGAGGTAAGAAGTGCTTAAATATCCATTTTGCCTTATGATATTGTTGTGAGCCTAGCCTGTAACGGCTGAGCCATGTCTCCCGTGTTACTATATTGTCTAAAAAAAATTGTTGACTTATGAAATTAAACAACTTTCAGGTAGAATAAAAATTACAATTTTTATACCAAATTGACAGCTTTTTAGCCACTATTCACTTCACTGTTGTGAAGATGAGAGCAGAGCCTGATGCATGCAACTTCTGAGACAGCGTTTCCATCATCTGTCCCTTTATAATGTCCCTCTTCATTTTTTGTGAGATCAGTTGATGGGATGGGACCTGTAGCTTTTCATTGGTAGAGTTAGATTTTATTTGTGTAAAATATTATTGTACATTTTTCATTTAAAAATTATATCTGAAATTTACTTTTGAGTTCAAATAAAAAGTAAAGCCATAATTGATTCAGGGGAAGAAATTGGCTTTGAATGAAACTCATCAAAATTATCTGTCTGTCATCTGTCTGTCTGTCTGTCTGTCTGTTTATTTATCTACTCCCCTCCCCCTTTTTGAGAC